GGCTAGTCTAGAATTGGTAAATCCTTATTATGTAAGCCATTCAGGCTTATATGTTGTTATTGCGGGTTTAAGCATATTGTGCTTGAGTTTTTTTTTTTTTAAAAAAAAATATTAGATCCTCTTTTAATTTCTGGTAAGAGAAATGTGTGGATTTCGGCCTGTTTTTTTTGTTTTTTTTTTTAAGATTTGTTTTGAGCCTTCTTCTCTAATTGTTTATGGATGTATCTATGTGTTTAAATGTATACATCTGCATTTCAGCACTCAAGTGTTATTTTTCTGCAACGTCAGTTTATTTCTTAAAAGTGGGTTTGGTATAATTGCTATTGATGTAGATATCTGCATTTAAGCACTCAAGTGTTATCTTTCTTCAACATCGATTTATTTCTTAAAAGTGGGTTTGCTACAATTGCTATTTCTTTGTTCTTTGATCTTATAGCTTTTGCTTGCGTTATTATGTTCATGTTGCTATTCGTCTGGTACTGTTTTATGGTTTCAGCCTCTGTTATGTTCATAATATGTTATTTAACTCTAAGGATACAAAATCTATTCACCTCATTTATTTGTTTCTTTTTCTATTTTCTCTTGGTATGCATTTGATTTTGCTTCCATGCTTTTTATAGATTAAAAGGAGAAGTTTCAAGGACTTCTCGTGGTAGCCTTTAGATTCGAGCTGCGTTCTCTTGGGTTAGTGGTTTCTTTCCATTTGGGTTAGTTGTCGTATTAAATGCGATTTCTACCTCTTATCTTCACTTTCTAGTTGTAGTTTCTGGATTTGGGAAAATTTTTTTCCTGTTTTGTCTCGGGAAAGTTGTGGTTTTATTGGGAAATTCAGGCTTCTTGGTTGTTTTCTGATATGATTTTCTGAAGTGCTTCTGCGTCAGTTTCTTGATCGATTCTCTGTTTGGTTACTTAGAAAATATGGGGAAGCAACTGAAATCTCATGTTTCTTGTCTTCTGAATCTGATTTTGTTTAACTGCTTATTGGTAGCAGGCAAGACAATAACCATAACTAAAGTGGATTAGTTTTGGTAGGCTCCACTGATTAGGATGGATTTTCTTCTTTCCTCTTTCAAATTTACAATTAAGGAAATTTATTATTTTTAAATATTGTTTTGGATTATATATGAACAATTCTTATTGTAAAGAAGTTGGCTGTCCTGGATGCTGTAAAAGTTTCTGTAAATCCTTAATATATTTGGGAGGTTAAGCACATTGATGAGTAATGACAGGCTGCCTCCATTTCTGAGAGAGGGAAGAAGGGGATCAAGGAAACATTTTTAATGCAAAATCTATTATATATATTTTTAATGTGTTTTTTTATATTAGTCAAAACTATGCACAAAAATTTTTTCAATCATACTTTGTGTATTATCTAACTAACATGAGAGTTTAACCTTGCATTTGTAGATATGTGAAACTTTGAAGAGCATTTGACTAAAAATTCTTAACTCACTGCTTTGAAATTTCAAGACCAAACATGCATCTCTAGCAAAAATTTTCCATACATGACAAAATAGGAAGAACAATAATG